TTAATATCATTATTTATTTAATATATTATTAATTTAAATATTATTACATATTTTTAAAAATTAAACCACCAAATACAATTTTCATTTTTTTTAAACTGAAAATAATCTCAGAATAAAACTACCAAACGCATTTTCAAAAATGATTCCAAAATGAAAATAAAAACATTTTCATATTCATTTTTATACAAAAAATAAAAACGTTTTGAAACCAATTCTAAACGCACCTAATATTTTTACTACAGTATTTTTCTTTCACATACACAACTCAAATTACGATTTAAATTGTGCAAATAAACACACCCTAAGTCTATATATAAATATACACTCACTTTGATGAAAAATTAATAATCAACCTATTGTAGTAAAGTAATGCCAAGCAAATGTTGACCAAATGTGCCAAGTAACTAATTAGATAGGCAATATTGAAGATAATTATTTTGGTAAACAATGTGTGAGATCATATTAAGAAATGGTTGCCATGCACATGTTTAAAGCGCGTCTCCTTAATAAACAAACAAGATTGAAGTATATTTACCAAAAAAAGAAAAAAGATTACAGTATGAGGTGTGAGAGAATACAAGAGCCAAGTGTGTAAATCTTGACCATTGCAGTTGAAGTAAAAAAAGGAATTAGACGATCATCATAGATATTGAAGATCAACCTTAGGCAAGACGCTAAGTAAAGAAGCATCCTCGTGGTCCTAAGCATCAAAATTCAAAAGAGAACCGCATTAGCAAAGCAAATGACAAGGAAATTCGACTGCCTAAAAAGAAGCCAAAGCCCTTCAACAAAGATGCCATGTTGGCAAAGATTATTATAAAATTTAGCAAATTTCTTTACCTATATGACATAACAAGATGAGCCATAAGCAAAATTTGGGAAGAAATACAAGTCAATTGCATAAACTGAGGTCCTAATACCCTTTGAGTTCAAAACTTTCCGCGGATTTCATTTCGCCGGAGGAGCTTGGGCATGAGAGTGCAGCAGCTTATCCATAAAGCAACTAGAATTATTTTGTCCTCATTTGTAATGCTGGGACATTCGTGCCACCAGCTTATCCATAAACTGACATTTCCTGTGAAATCCCCAGCCAGGGTTGTTCTGCAAATCAAACAAGGGGTAAATGAATATTTGTATACAACTTTTTTTTTTCCCCACAATAAACTCATTTAAGACGAACGTTTGGAAGTAAGAATCAAGGAAATAAAATTTTGGAGAATGTGATACTCATAAATGTAAAAAAGAAATTTAATTTTTAGGTATAGTAGCAATCGGCTTATAAAAGTTGAATCCTTTTATTCTTCCAAAGATCTATATATATATATATATATATATATAACCAACAGGATCAATAACAACTTGGCCATTTTATCAAGAAATATCCGAAAAGTCTCAGCCTATGTTTGGCAGTGGAAAAGAGAAAGCAAAATTGGAGGGGTTTTGAAACAAAAAAGAAATGTGGGATTGCTTGGTTGAGAGGAGATTGGAAAGCAAGAGATAAACCATTTGACATAACAAATACTATGTTAAAGAATCATTTGACCATAGTCATACCTCCTCTTCTTGAATGTACGAGGATGTAATTGTAAAATAAATTACATAAGAGATTCTTTCCTCTTTCATTTCTCTTCTAGTTCTATCAAACAATATGAAAGAAGAGCTGCTTTCTTCCTTTTTATTTACCTTGGCTTGGTATTTTACTACTTCCTTACTTGTGGCCTCACTCATGAGCCAAAAGGCATTCAATTAATGGGAAAATGAAAGACGGTCAAGAACAACAAGAGACAAACCAAACTAAACTTACCCAGACTTGAATGGTTTTTTTACATCATTCAATTTTTGCCTAGAATAATAGTACCGAACAGTATTTTAAAATATTTCCGAAAAGAATCTAATACATGACGAGTATGGACAAAAACTTATGCCAAAAATCTTTAACTGCACATCCTATACACCCCTGGTCTCCCTCACACAACAAACCTACTAATATGTACTCAAATGTATTCCACACACCAAATTATAACCAGCCCCAAAACCTCATATCCTAAAGCTCTAATGTATACCAATCTCTGTGCTACAACCATCATATATCTAATGTCCTTCATGTCTCACTCATGAACCTTTCATTAAGAGCAGTCTTGCCCATCTCCACAACTACCAACAATCACATTTCATTCTTATAGGCAAAGAAATCAATCACAACCCCTTTCTATTACGACTCTCGTACCTAAGGTGAGAGAGAGAAGAGAGAGAGAGAAGGATACGATTGTTCCCAATTCCACTTCTTAACATGTAAATAAACACCGGATAGAGCATCAATAATCTGCTTTCTTATTCATCTTTGTTCCTTTCCAGCACCTTAACATTTCCTCATACATTCCATTACAAGTTAGACAAATATAGCCTAAATATATTCCTAGAAACGACTCTAAGTGCTATGTTAAAGACAGAAGATTCTAAAGAGCCCAGTGCAGGATATACCAACAGTCCATATATCAGCAGCATTGAAAACATGATAACAAGCATTAAGTAAAATCTATCTGATACCCAGTGTAAATTTAATGATCTTCTAGAACAAGTCTTTCTAAAATGCATCCATGACACCAAAACCAGCCCCACCCCCTTCTTGGTGCAGAGTGCAGACTTGACAGTCTTTCACCAAATAAATTTAAGACTGCATAAGCCCATTCAGAAGCATGAAACTCAAACCTTGAGAACCCAAGGGGATTTGAGTTTAGAAATCCTTTTATTTAGAGGGTTTAAACGTTACATCAAGGGTTCAAACCCCTTTTTACTTTTTGCAAAACAAACACTGCTTTGAAGTTTGAACCCAAACCTGGGTTCAAACCCCTTCAACGCTCCAACCAAGCGACCCCAAAGTAGAATGACATAATAAAGATTAACCAATGAGAATAGACTAAATAAAAATATTATAAGTACACAATGCCAAAGTAACTTAAAGAGTTAAAGTTTTAGAAGCTGAAAGAAAGAACAAAATTAACCTGGAGAGAAAGTACTGCACGCTCAGTGAATTGCTTTACAGAATTGGGTGCACTTGCGGGCAGAGTCTTAGTGACCCTATCTAATTCTTGATGTTGTTTCTTCACCGTAACCCTATTCGGCCCACTATAATGATCAACAATCTCTTTCAACAATGGAACTCTCTCCATCGTCTCCTTCATAATTTCCTGGTAGAATATAAAGGTCAGAAAAATACCAGCATGAAGGCAACTTCAGTAGTCACACTTTCTGCATTTACATTTTTGTATTTTACTCATCACACAATTTAGTGCAAGCCCAGTATTTAAACAAGAAAATAATAACTAAACTTTAACTTCATAGACAAGCCACCAGTAACACATTAGCTATGTTAACCTTTTATTTTGTTCCTTTAATCCAACACAATATAGGCTACGTCTACAAAATCATTGGGTTACCTCCGACCTGCAAAAAAATTCCCACGACAAGAATCCAAGACCCTAAAAGGGAAAAATGTGTGTGTGTGTGTGTGTTTGACTCTTTTTGTCTATCAAATAATATCCTGGGGACAAAACACAATATATGCTGAAGGTTTTTCCTATATTTCTAGCTAATACGTCATATTAACGAATTGGAAAAATAAAATATTAGTAATAATGATAATCACAACCATAATCGTTTCTCTATAGCAAGTATAGATTCTCTCGCTCTTATTGTGCATGTCTAGGACAAATTGGATGATTTATGCTAGACAAAGCATACTGGAATTAAAACAATTGATATAAGGTCTATGATTTTACCCATTAAAATTTTGACAATGAAACTAGACAGCATATAAATATATAATCAAAAGCATATCTGCAAAAGTAAACCAGTGAAGAGCAAGGACGATAAGCATAAGACTCCCACGAGCAAATGTAGATTAATCTATCTATAGGCTTGAAAACATTCTATTTTGATGAATCTTAATTATCAAATGATACTATACTACAGTGACCAGATTGCCAAAAGAAACAGGGTACAAATGCACCATATTATAACCCAGCCAACATATCAAACAAGACGAATAAACTATACCTCCCACTCTTCTTGGCTTTCAATATTCTCGTATGCCATGAGGAATGGCTTCGCCTTCTCAAGTGCATCCCGGAGAGGGATAGGTGGCTTCTCGTCAATATCAGGATTACTCTCAAGGTCTCCCATCAAAAACTCCGGTTCAAACTCTAACTGCAATCCACAAAAAAAAAAAAAAAAAAAAAAAAAAACAAAAACACACAAAAAAAAAAACAAAAAAATTAAAAAC